GTGCCCCATTGTTAGTATCAATGGGAGGAATAGTGCCCCATTGTTAGTATCAATGGGAGGAATAGTGCCCCATTGTTAGTATCAATGGGAGGAATAGTGCCCCATTGTTATTATCAATAAAAGGAATAGTGCCCCGTTTTTGGTTTCAGTAGGAGGAATAGTATCCCATCATTGGTGTCAATGGGAGGAATAGTGCCCCATCATTGGTGTCAATGGGAGGAATAGTGCCCCATCATTGGTGTCAATGGGAGGAATAGTGCCCCATCATTGGTGTCAGTGGGAGGAATAGTGCCCCATCATTGGGGTTAATGGGAGGAATAGTGCCCTATCATTGGAATCAATGGGAGAAATAGTGCCCCATCAATGGGAGAAATAGTGCCCCATCAATGGGAGAAATAGTGCCCCATCATTGGGGTCAATGGGAGAAATCGTGCCCCATCATTGGGATCAATGGGAGAAATAGTGCCCAATCATTGGGATCAATGGGAGAAATGGTGCCCCATCATTGGTTTCAGTAGGAGGAATAGTACCCCATTGTCGAAGTCAGTGGGAAAAACTATGCCACGCTGTTGCTTGCAGTGGGAGGAATAATGCCTCGAGGGCCTGATTAAAAGCAAGCAAAGGGCCGCATTTGGCCCCTGTGCCGCAGTTTGGAGATCACTGTTTTAGAGCATATGTACTCTAGTGGTCTAGGAATGCAGTTGCAGATATCCATTATTATTAATTCAGATGTTTATGGTGTAGCATATTAGTTCCTTCCCCCCCTTAAAGTTCTTTCAGCCTGCATATATTTTTCTTCAATACCCACCTTTGCCATGATGTTAGTGCAGCAGCTTGCTGCATTATTACACAGTGAAGGTATGTTTCCATCATAACAACCCCAGGGGGGTGAGCAATGGCACCCTGCTTTCAGTCTTTCCTCGGTCCTCCAGGTTGAGTGACGATGGGTTTCATTCAGCCCTCAAGATCTTAGACACCTTGGTGGATAAAAGGGAGGGCAACTCCAGATTGAAGGTGAATATTGCGGTGTGAGCTGCTCATTACATTTTTTTGCAGCACTTTGAGTTGCAATTACCTTTGTGGGTGATTAGCTGTTGCTGCCCACACAGCTGATGCAGCAGCACAGGGATTTGAAAGCCCCACTCTTCCTTGTCTTTCCTTTGGACTTCCAGGACAGATTAGAGTAATTCTGATTGGTCATGGGCTGGCATTAGTCACCACTTTGACCAAATGGAATCAGTCTGATCCTTCCCAGAAGCCCTAAGAAAAGACAGGGAAGAAGAGCTGGGTTGTTCCACTGGAAGCATGGGCAGTAACCGTTAATTACCCACAGAGGTAAGTGCAATGGGGGTGGTGGGGAAAAAGGGTAAGGAGAACGTAGAGTGTTTAGTTCACCTTTTTTATTTTTTTTTGTGAAAAGATGAACTTGTGCTTTATGCTATACTGATCTGAGTAGAGGAATCTTAATATATATTTTATTTTTATGGTTGTTTGTTGTTTATGGTGTTTTGGCTGGATCATTAAATCATCTCTTTGTGTGTTTTCTTTAGGATGGTTTGACAGTTCCCTCAGGACATGTGAGAACGTCCAGCTGGTCTAAGTGTCATCAAGAAGCCAGCAAGCTCTCGGAGGCAGATATCTTGGACAGAAAAGTAAAGGCTGGGGCTCAGGCTATATATCAGGTTGGTATATAGATTTGTATCTTATGTCGGTCTCAGATTTTCCTATAATGTAAGTGGCATTGAACATAGGTCATCTGTTTTCCTCCCTTATAGGTGTTCATTGTTAATGCTGCAAATATCATTTTGTTGGAGCCTGCAAATGACAACAAGATGATGTTAAATGAACATACAGACATGTGTAAAAGAGTGCTTAATATTTATCGCTACATGGTAGTACAAGTTTCCATGGATAAGAAGACCTGGTAATAAGAATTTTGTTGTTCAGATATGCACACATAATGACACCTGACATGAAACGGGGTGCTTTTTTTTCCCTTGTGTATATTTCACCATTCCAACATTTGTTTTTGACCCATGCTCCAGATAAGTTGGACATTCTTATCCCAAGAATTGTGATTTTCACAAAACTAGTGGTAACTCTCTCACATTTAATATCTGGATGTCTGGGGCTTTGTGGTATTATGTATGGAAATGATGGTTCTTAGTGTGTGGATGAATAATATCCAGTGACTGCCACTGTTTCTCCGTGGATGTGTCAAGGGCAAGTCTGATGAGAGGAAGGGAGTCTTAAAAAAAAAAAAAAAAAAAAAAGTGCAATTTATAATCAAGTGCCAAGTCCATATAAAGTACAACAAATGTCACTCCTTTAGTGCTTCCAGTGCAAATCCAATATAGTGACTTCCACCTGCCTCCTATAACCCCTCTGGGAATCAGGTCACACAACCATATGGGTATTTCCACAATAGAGGATATATATTTATTTGTCAACTTACACATTGTGGAGTGCTTTTAATATGTCAATTCTCCCCCTCTCCCCCCCCCCTCCTTCTCTCCTCCCCCTCCTTCTCTCCCCCCCCCCCCTCCCCTCCCCCCCCCCCCTCCCCTCCTTCTCTCCCCCCCCTCCCCTCCTTCTCTCCCCCCCCCCCCCCTCCTTCTCTCCCCCTCCCCTCCTTCTCTCCCCCCCCTCCCCTCCTTCTCTCCCCCCCCTCCCCTCCTTCTCCCCCCCCCTCCCCTCCTTCTCCCCCCCTCCCCTCCTTCTCCCCCCCCCCCTCCTTCTCCCCCCCCCTCCCCTCCTTTCTCCCCCCCCTCCTTCTCCCCCCCCCCTCCTTCTCCCCCCCCCCTCCTTCTCTCCCCCCTCCTTCTCTCCCCCCCCCTCCTTCTTTCCCCCTCCTTCTATCCCCCACCTCTCCTTCTCCCCCTCGCTCTCTCTCTCCTCACCCCCTCTCTCTCACTTGCTTACTCTCTCCCTCGCTCTCTCATTTAACTTTTAAATTTTGATGTGATGGCTCTGCTTTCTACCCTGCCATGCCATTCATATATGACATAAGTAAAGGAAAGCTATTTCTCATGAAAAGTGTGTTGCTAGCATTTACATTGCATTTTTAAATATTCAGTTGGCTTTTCCCAAGACATTAGTGCCTGACTTTTGTTTCAGGATGCAGCTGTTACTGGTCATGTTAAGGGTCACAGAGTCTGTGCTGAAGATCCCACCACAGGTTTTACAGCAGTACCAAGGCAGGAAAAATCAGATATTGGCTGGACGTCTGGCAGGACCTTTGTTTCAGGCATGTATTACTGGGCAGAGGGATTTTGAAAACTCCAAAAGCTGGTGAGATTTTGTAGGCTTAAGGCAAAGCTATACCCTCCTATTCCTTGCAGACAAGGAATCCTGCTATCTTAGCCTCTGTGTACTATTGGTGCAGCACATGTGATCAGTTATAGCACATGCATTTAATGGCTTGACATTTCAGTTGGGAGCTGACGTAAGTCAGAAAATTAAGTCCTGCTAGATCACTTCAGCCTGGCCCCTTTTGCTGGTATAGCTATGCAAAACATGAAAACAATCTAATTATGTGATAATTTTAAGCCAAAATGTATTCTGCTACATTTCTTTGCAAATAAAAAAAAAAATCCCAATACATGTAAATTAATTGGTTTACGTGAAAGTTATAGTGTTTACAAATGGAGGTATATATACTGGAATTTTTTTTTTTTTATACTGGTAATGGTGCCAATCAACGACATAGCAGGACTGCGATGGGCATTCTGACACTGGGGGGAACTATCTGCCAATGACACTAATACAGTGATCAGTGCTAATAAAAAGCACTGACACTATACTAATGACACTAGGCAGGAAGGGGTTAACATCTGGGGTGATCAAAGGGATAACTGTGTGCTGTTTTACTTTATGTGCTGTCTGTGTGTTTTACTAGGGAAACATACTGCTGCAGAGAAATACACAGCAGCATATTATTACTGGCAGGAGAGAGACCTGTGTTGTTTACACACAGGTCACTCCTTTGTCACTATTTCTCGGCGATCGCCGGTTGCCGGCAGAGAATCTCCGGCTGGAGAATCCTAAGGTTTTGGTAACATGTCTTCTACCAAAGAGGAGGATTTCTGATCCTCCATCTTTACCACTTTAGCAAAGGTCACATGACCAAACGTCTTTCCTTGTAGCCTAGTAGATTGGAAGGGAAACTGGAGCAGCACTTTCTCCACTTAAGTGTTTAAAGAAGAGCTATCACCAAAAGAAAAAAAATGCTAAGCATTCTCTCAATGACACCCGAGCCAAGCTTCCAACCTCCTGTGTTCAGAATGCAGCAGGCCAGCCCCTCAGTACAGGACCCAGAAGCAAGTGGAGAGCCAGTGGAGTAGCGGTATCTTCTTCAGTGATTTCCAGCTTTCAGGGGCATCGGTCAGGTATGCTATTTACATAGTTACATTGGTCCAAACTGAACCGATGTAACTACATGTGAAATATCAATACCTGGATTTCATCTTTAGCATTCCTAACATGAGTACATTGCCTTTGTTCCTCAAAACTGAGCTTTATGTACGAAGACCTTATCACAGTAAATTGAGAGATACTGTTGTTTGTATGCATTGGTATGTGTCCATTCACTGTAATCTTAAGTGAACAATAGTAATCATTTAAATTGTGATTATTTTTAAAAGTGAGATTGTGGCTTAAAAGTATTTCAGAGCCTCATTTAACCTGTCCTTGTTTTCATAGTTTTTACATCAGCACATAAATATACAAAAATAATCATCCGTCATAAATCCAGTAAGCTGTTTATTTGGTTATCCTAAAACCGCCTTCATTTAACATTTTCTTAATTATTATCTTTTAGACATTGATTGTGGCCTGGATCAAGTCAAGTCTTCATGTTAGTGTTTCTCGGGAGTTATGGGATGATTTACTGGCAGTAATGTCGTCTCTGACATACTGGGAGGAGCAAGCCACAGAATGGGCTCACACAATGGAAACGCTGACCAAAGTTTTGGCCAAGAATGTCTACCATCTTGATCTGAATGAGCTGCCACTGGACAAGTTGAGCGAGCAAAAGCAGAAGAAACACAAGGGCAAAGGTTTAATATGTGCACATAATCAGCATAATGCAAACAAGTGATGTGCATTATTGATAATATCCAGTCAGTGTCAGGTGGTATTAGTTTAACAAACCTAAAATACAAAGAACTTTTAACTAATAGGCTGCAGTGTTCTGTACCTCTTTAATTTTTGCAGAAAACTTGATATGAAATTTACTTATCTTATAGCTTTGTGCATTAAGCTTCATTTGTTATTGCATACTCCTTTTATTCTGCATTATCAAGCCCCAGGCACTCTGGAAAACAGCACTGCCCACTAATCTGTATTTCTTATATTACTTTGTAGCAGTAGTAGTTTATCTTTTAAAGGGGAAGTCCACTTTCATGGGGAAAAAATATAGTGAGTAAAAACAGAATATTTTAGCATAGACAATTGCTACACACACTATACCGTAATTTACCATTATTAAAAATTACCTTTCCCTTTCAAATTGCAACCTGCTGTAATTTTCTATAAAGTCAATGCAGTAGGTCTCCTGAAGGCATTCCATACACCAGGCATAACTAAATGGCAGAATGGGATCCGGATGCGGGACCGAGTCACTGTCCCATCTGGACCCATGCAGTCCTGCCATTTAAGAGTCTTTTCTTCCCCCATCTGTCTCAGTTATCCTCACAGAGCTGACAGCGGGAGGCAGGACAGTTCTGGATGGAGGGTGGGAGTTGCCCGAGGTTATTAACAAGCAGATGATTGGTTGCTAGGATGAAGGGCAGTCCTAGCAATCAGTCAATCACTGTCTGTCAATCACTGCCTGTGTAAGGTAGGCCAGTGGTTGGGGGAGCAAAGTTAAAGGGGCTAAAGACATTAGTGTGAAGGGGGGACTGAGGACAGTAATGTGGGGGGCTAAGGACTGTGGTGTGTGGGCACTGAGGACATTAAAGTGGGAGGGGCTAAGAACAGTAATGTGGGGGCTGAAGACTGTAACATAGAGAGGGGCTGATTACAGTAACATGGGGGAGGCTGAGGACAATAATGTGGGGGCTGAGGACAGTAACATGAAGGGGGGGGGGGGGTCTGGAAAAATGATGTGGGGGGATGATGTAAAAAGGGGCAGAGTACTCTTCAGTGAAAAATACTGTTTGGGGGGGGTGGGGGGGTGATTTCAAGGAAGTGTGAGAACACTACTGTTAAAAGGGGTGACGGGGGGTGATGAAAAGCTGAGGACCCTCATCAAGAGGGATCTTGCTGTGAATGAGGAGGGGACTGTGATGTGCAGTGGGGATTGAGAACACTGATGTGAGAAAAGGTTCAGATCTGTACATGTGCATTTGGTGCACACGTTGTGGGTAGGTCAGCACTACCTGCTAGAAACCTGAAGAGGTCACCGACCCTTTTTTTTTCTCAAATTCGAACCGCGGCAACATGTGGTTTGGCACACACAAAAATGCACCACTGGGGTCTACATGAGATTCGGACCTCTGAAGTGGACAGAGTGAAGATAGTTGGACACATTGGAGTAAGGAGTTCCAGAGGATGGGAGCAGCTCTGGAGAAGTCCTGGAGGCAAGCATGGGAGGAGGTGTTGGAAGGAACACAAAAAATGATTTGGTTGGTATTTTGATATAAGTTTAGTGATGTAGTTGGGGGGGGGGGGGGGGGGGGGGGTTGTGGATGGCTTTGTAAATTGTTGTAAGGATCTTAAATTTATTTGGTTGGGTGAGTGGAAGCCAGTGGAGGGATTGGCAGAGAGGGGTGGCAGACTATAAACAGTTGGTAAGGTGGATGAACCTGGCAGCAGCATTCATGATTGGCTGAAGGAGGGATAGCCTATGTAAAGGTTAGCCAGTGAGGAAGGAGTTGCAGTAGTCAAGGCAGGAGATGACCAGGGTGTGAGTAAGAAGCTTTGTGGTGTCATTGGTTAGGAAGAGGTGTATCTTGGAGATGTGGAGGTTGAGGTGGCAAGCTTTGGACAGTGATTGGATGTGGGGCCGAAATGATAGTTCAATGTCCAGGATTGCACCTAGGCATGCGGGATGGTTTGATAGTTGAGCCGTTGATTTTTAGAAGTCAGGAGAAGGGGCGTGTAGGGAAGTGTAGGGAAGGAAATATAATGAGCTCCATTTTAGAAAGATTGATGTTCAGGAAGTGGTGTGACATCCATGCTGATATGTCTGTTAGAAGATTAATGATACATAAGGAGACTAACGGAGTGAGCTGAGGGGTAGAGATAGATTTGGGTGTCATCAGCATAGAAATGGTATTGAAAGCCATGGGAGAGCAATCAAATGACCCAGGAAGGAGGAGGAGATTGAGAATAGGAGAGGTCCAAGAACAGAACCTTGGGAAACCCCAATGGAGAAAGAGGGAGTAGTGTAGCAGTTTGGCTGGATTTGAGCTTAACACCCTGGTCACATCAGGTGTGACTTGGCATGCGATTTGCATGCCATGCAACTTGCAAATCGAATACGAAGTCGCACCCTATTGTCCGCAATTAGAGCGGTCAAATCGGTGCGGTTCCGACTTCGTCGAGGCCGCACCGTTTTCTAAAGTAGTACATGTACTACTTTTGGTGCGATTTCCATAGACATCTGTGTCAGATGTCTTGCAAATCGCACCTGAAATCAGCATCTCATCCAATTTTGAAATCGTGCGACTGTAAGTCCCACGATTTCAAAGTCGGGCTTGATGTGACCGGGGGTTAAAGGAAAAGAAACATCACTTTGGTGTATTAGCATAAGCTTGGTAATATGAATGCTTACTTTGTTTACTGTGCTCATCTTGTTTCTTTTTTTCTCTAGGAGGCAGCCATGAATTCCAGAAGGGATCTGTGGACAAGTCTTTTTCACGAGGGTGGAGTAGAGAGCAGCCTGGGCAGGCACCCATGCGCCAGCGCAGTGCCACCACCACAGGATCACCTGGCACTGAGAAAGCCAGGAGCATTGTGCGGCAGAAAACCATTGGTATGGCACTTGTACAACTTGTTTCATGACTCCATTGCTCATATCAATCCATGCCCTCCTTGGGTGCCTGATTTACTATCTTCTGCTGAAATGCTAGTTTAGATGTTGAAAATCTTGCTATAATGTATATGTGCAGTTCACAAGTGTTAGTATGTATTTTAAAAGCTAGTGTATATCACTGTTCTGAATTAAAAAGAAAAAACGATATATTATGATGGCTGAGCTTTAGAGCTCAGTAGCCAGTGTGGGCTAGACAAATGAAGCAACAGAATTGGAACCTAATGGGAGCAGCTATTCTCCAAACACATGTGTTTTACAGTGATTTACCTTTCCAGATCTACAATTTGACACATAGATCAAGTAATGGCTGCTTCCATCAGAGCCTGAGTACATGGATGTTTAACTTTCTCAGAGAATCCTTCTGAACAGTGCAAAATGTCCACACTACATAGGTTTAGAACCTATGGTGAATATTACAGCTCATAGCTTCTAATAAATGAAAGGTTTTACTTCTATAGTTGTGGTTATCTTTGATAACTGTGTTTGGACCAGTGCTTGGCAAGTACAGCAGATAGCTAAGACTAGAAAGATGCTGTGTGGAGGGCAGCTGTCATCATATGCCCCCACTTCATGTGATGGACACTACTAGGAAATAAATTGTGCTGTCTTCATAGTCATTCAGTTCCTGTCAAATCTCACTGAGTATTTGGGTTCTAATCATAGTGATGTGCCTCTCACTGTCTTTTGAAATGTGTTCGCATAACATACTTAATAGTCCTTTTTTAGAAGTTCTGGAAACTGTCAATGAGGAAACAATATAATACACAGTGACAAAGACCACAAGTGAACAAGCTGAGGAAATCTTAGTGCTTTATCTATGTAGATGTTTATTAAGCACTGTGTTCAGAATGGCTAGTAGTAACTTCAATTGTCTCTTAAAACCTATGAGGATAAAAATACTAAACAAGCAGCAAGCTCTAATAGTTGACTTACAGTTTGCGAAGGAGCTTCTTTATTTCTTCATTTGCTGCTGTTGACAAAAACACGACAAGCCACATTCCTCAATGTAGTGCTTGGGGTCTGAGTGATTTATCTCCAGACCTGAACATTGTGAGGGGGTCATACATTTGAATAAGCAGGTAGCAACCATCTGTAAGTTGGTGGGATAGGAAATGGCTGCAAAGAAGGTGCAGTAGACGACCAGCACCGAGATGCAACAAAGTATGGAAATATTTTATTTAAAAACAATTAAATGAATACACAGTGCTTCAGCAAACTAAATGCTGTTCAGTTAGGGAGTAAATCTATTGTACCCTCAGTGTTCTCCAAGCAACACATGTGGGACAAATATGAAGGTTAAGCATTGTGTACTGACTGTTTATGCTGTCAGATTACATTTTTTCATAGCAACAAAGTTAGCAGACATTTACAGTAGAAGATTGAAGGTTAAATTTACTTTTACTGAAGAGGAGTCACACACCATACACTGCACTAGCAGCACCATAATGCTCACAGCGACTAGAGGTTATTGGTAAGAATGGCCACATGACCCGTGAACATTTCCTCCTCCTTTCAGGGTGTCATTTCAGAATAAAAGGGCTCAGGAGAGAGTTTTCATGATGAGCGCAGTCATGTGACCACACTAACCAATGTCTGCTCGCTTTTGTGACCATCATGATGTTACAAGCTCTGGGGCTGCTTGTGGACAGATCATCTTCTATAAAAGTAAACTTACCTTTTACCTAGAATCTGACTGGCTGCTATCATTTGTTTTCCTTTTCACTTTTTTTTTGTACAAATAAGCCCCTTATGTGTCATGCACCTGTCAGGTGATACCATTTCACAGATTCACAAGGTTGTTCCTAGTAAAAGTAATCATCTTTGTATAGGAATAGAAAATACACTATATGAGCAAACGTCCGTGGACACCGTCCCATCACACCTCTGAGCTTGTTAAATAATCCATTCCAAAACCTTGGCCATTAATATGGAGTCTGTTCACCTTTTGCTGCTATAACAACATCCAGGCCTTTGGGAACACTTTCTTTTGCAAGTGTTTTATTAGTTTTGAAGCATACAAATAATGTATTTCAAACAATACAGCAGTAGATTCCAGGTAATTAAAAGAATGTTACATGTATACGTATATTGGGCTGTAGGTTGATATAAGGAGTTAGACTTTAGGGGAGGGAGGAATGAATGGGAATTTAGTATTAAATATCACCAGGGTATAGAATTGGCCCTGGAGTACTGCATATTAGTCTATAACCAAGAGGCATGAGGTTTCCCCTAGGTTCTGTGATTTGTATGATGAGGTTAGGCTGTGTGTTTGAGTGAATTGATAATAGAGTATATGAGAATTATTAGTAAGGAAAATTTGAGTGCGGTGGATGGTGTTACAAAACAATAAGAAGGAATAGACAAGGGTAAAGGAGAGAAGAATGAAAAATGGAGAGGTTTTAGGGAGAAACTGGAAAGGTGTGAGAGCTAGAAAGTCACTATATACTGTAAATAGATGGATAATAATTGGGCATGATGATGAAGGGGCCACGATAACATTATTCAAAGTTTCCAAACCTTGAAAAAAAATCTGTGCGTTGTATTATTTGTGATTAATTCCTCATTTATTACTCTGTATATTTGGGTTTTATTTTGAAAAAATGTAGGTAGGGGGTCTTCTATGCTTTTGCAATGGTCATTTTAGTGGCAGTGAAGATGCACGGGATGAATATTTTTCCCTTGGTGGAAATGTCTGCTGTAGGTTTATTGAGTAGTGCTTAGTAAGGCTTTCTATAAGATTCTGGAGTATGTCTGTTGGAATTTGTGCCCAGCCAGCCCAAAGTACTTTGGTGAGATTAGGTACTGATACTGGACAAGAAGACTTGGCTCACAATGGGTTTTCCAGTTCATCCCAAAGGTTATCAGTAGGGTTGCAGCCAGAGATCTGTGCAGGCCAATTCAAGTTGTTCGACTCAAAACTTGACAAGCCCTGTTTTTATGGACTGGACCTAGCTTTGTGTAGAGGGGTACAGTCATACTGAAACAGAAAATGGCCTTCCCCAAACTGTTGCTTCAAAGCTGGAAGAGCGCAGATGTATGTCTTGTATGCTTAGCATTAGCAGTACCCTCCACAGAAAACACCTGAACTCAGAAGTTTGGAGAGATACTCACATACATTTGGTTATATAGTGTATTTATCATTGATAAAAAATAAATTTTACATAGTAACAAAGGCATTTACAATTGTCACTGCTCCTAAAGACAGAATAGCAGCAGATAGCATAGCATGGATATTTTGATACATTTACTAAACCTGGTTTAGCTGTTGACCTTAGCATCCAATCTTGTCATCTTTGGAAAAGATTTTTGGACACAAAAATCTTCTGTTTGCAATGCATAACACTTTTCCAAGAAATAACTCTAGCTTTCATCAATGATCTACCTAGGCTTGCATTTTTCAAACACAAAAGAAGATGTTGTGAGGCTTATGAAAAAAAGTGTTTAGTGTTTTACAGCAGCCATCAGGATTCTAGCCCTCTAGTGCAAATTAAAAAATCAGACTTAAGACTTAGTCGCCATGGGCAGCAGTTAAGTATGTCATGCTGGTCCCCTGGCCTCACTCCTTAATCGTTGGGTTAGACCTTTGGACCTTCACACCTGTTCTTGGTCAGTGACTAGGTAATGTAGTCAGGGAGCTAGCAAAAGTCCCTTATCGGGAAGCACCCCACATACTGATTTAAAAAACACCTCAGTGAAAGGCATAAACAATATTGAAAGAAAAAATCTTACACCTGGCTTCTGCAGGTGAGCCCAGGAAAGGGCATTGTCACCGGGCTTTCTCACAGAATCTTACCTTACACCCAGCTTCTGTGTGCTAGTCTAGGAAAAGGTGATATCACTGGGCCTTCTCATGGCTTGTTACCTTACACCCAGATATAGCAGGAGGGTGATGTCACTAGACCTTCTCATGGGAATCTGGGTAAATTGGGGGATCCTGAATCACCTGACAATTTGTGCGTGCACTTCACTGGAGTGTTGTCTTGTGAGTTTTGTGATCCTCATCTCTCAATCCAGTAACATCACCTATGTCTTTCACTGAGTATTTTTTTTTTGAATTAGAAGGCACTGGACTTCAAGATAAGGAGACGTAGTGTTTGAATGCTAGGTCAGCAATAAGAAAGCTGTCCTTTGCAACACACATTTCTGTTATGACGGAAGCCCTTTAACCTGTGCAGAAAAGATTGGAATAAGGTTGACTGCAGTTTGCAGCGCTTCCCTTTTCCTTTCATTAATATTTTCTGCAGAGCTAATTTGTTAGGTGCAGTGTAGAGCATGAGATGACATGTGTCTCACACACACTTATATAAGTTATTCTGTAAAATGTTCTGTCAATTTATATGGATTTGTGAAGATTTCACAAACCTTAGATGTTACAAATTTCCAAATACAAACCCCTAGAGTTTAGCACATTTGTTCTTCCCCAAATACCACATTTGCTTTATTTGTACGTGTGTGTTGTGCTTCAGTGTGATATTGCTGTTTGAGGTACATCTGTTCTTTTTATGTTTTGCCTGTGTCCTTGCTCAGCTGTTGATTTATGATCTGTAACGTCACCTCCACATTTACTGTGCATCTTGTACGGAGCACACACTCTCTACTTGCATATTGTCACTTTCTGCCTGCTTCTTGTGGTTTTGCTGCACTCATCAGTCACTTCTCTTTCCTCTCCGGTCCCTTTTCTCCCCGATCTCTCCTGTCTTTCTGTCTTCTTTTTTTAAAGCCATGAGAAGCCGATCCATTGGGGACAGTGCCCTGCCATCCGCCTCTATCCGCAGCGCTAAAAGTGCACCTGTCCTGATCCATCCTTCCAAACCCCTTCTGCCTGATATTGTTCTCACTCTGCTTTCCGATGAGCTGTCAGGTAGTGGCACCTCTGTCTGCGCACATACCCACTGTCTGCAGCCCCTTTAATTACACTGGATACAGATGACTGTTAGGGTGGAATCTCTTCTCTTAACTCCTCACTTGTGCACGTTCCCTAATTACTTGTTCTAATGGCTGCAGCTCAGAAATCCTTATTTGTACAAAAATATTTCTAATAGATGGGCTTTGGTTGTGGTTCAGATGTCTAAGCAGCTCTTAGACTTTTTTTGGGGTATTTTTATATCACTTTGGAACTTACACTATGGAATAGATTAAAGTTACCTGCTACAAACATAGGCTATTTAAATTTTGTATAATATGGAAAGAGAACTGTGCAGGGGATATCTTTGGTGAAAAGGACTGGTAGATCTGAAGTTATAGGCAGTTGAACCTGTATGTAAATCTCTACTTGTTTCAAAAGGTAAAGCTTGGTCCCACACTTACCGCCTCCTTGGGGCCCTTCTTTGGTTAACGATGCTGCCGATAACATTGAAGAACCAAAATAGGAAGGCATGGTTGGAGAAGGGCCAAGCTTATCTTGTACAGAAAAAGGTTTTGCTTAAAGTTCCAGGTGTAGCTTTGAATCTGTAGATGATTGACAGATGATTTTCATTGAAAATAATTTCTGCTTCATGTAATTTTGCATCATATAATCTGTTTGAGTATCCCAAGTTTGAGACTCATTTACAGTTCTAATTTCTTTGTTTTCATTAAAAAGCAGTTCATTATCTTAATGACACATCATCACTACCAAATTTATATTTAAAAGCATTTTTAAAATGTATTTATACTCAATCTTTACATTATGTGAATAGAAGACTTTCCATTTTACTTACTGAAGTTATTTTACAGCCCCGTATTATGTTATTTTAGGGGCCCTTCATATTACATGTAGATAAGATAAAAAGAAAATTATCCGGCAACAAAACTGCAATAAAAACTCCTTTGGTTGGATGGAGTATTTGGATTCTCTTTTGGGAAAGTCCTTGTACTTCATTACCAAATGTATGTGAAATAAGACATCTGAACTACAACCTGACAAGCTTTTTGCAATTGTGTTATATTATGATATTATATAAGGAGTTTTTCTGAGTTAACCATGCTTGGGAATGTATCACCTAATAGCTCTCTGCACTATTTAGAATGTTGTGTAGGCACTAATATTTTGATGTTTGTTCTGTTGATCCATAACTTTTGTATTCCAGCATTTACAACTGAGTTCTGGCTGTATAATTTTTCTGTTAATTCTCACTGGTTTGCATTGATTTCTACAGTATGTAAAAAATGTATAGTCCACTCTTCTAGTCAAGTTATTTTTTTCTGACTTCTAATCATTAGTCGTTCATAACTACAGGAAGTACACATTCTGAGCCACAAATTTTTTCTTTTTGCTCGTTTGGTTTCCTGTTTTAATTACTCCCATAAACCTCCCATGTTGGTAGTTGCAAACCTTTGCCCTGTTAGTATTTCAGCTGGCTCAAAGTGTAAAGTAAATTGAGTTGCTGATGTGGCTCGTCTCTCCTAGACCCCATGCTGTATAGATTCAGAACCTCCTGAGAGCAGCTGCAAAGTCACAGAGGCCTCCTGGAAATGTCCTTAGCCTTCATAGTTAGTTCTGCATTCATGATAGTCAGTGTATGTGGCTTTTATTAGCTTTTCTTTCAGTATTTGAAAATAAGTGACTTGAAGTCTTATCTCTAACCTAGCATTATACAGTAGAATAAAATAGAACACGCTCTTAGGATTCTTTTAGAATGGCGTGTAGCAGAGGTCAAAATAATTCTTTGACCTCTGGTTATGTAGTGCACTACTAGCTGTAATTATTAACGAGTAAAGACTTAACTTCTAATCTGTTTTGGTAATGCATTAAGGAAGTTTTTTTTTCCTCTGGACCAGTAGACTGTTCACAGCCAGCATAAATATTTGTGTAGGAAAGCATTGGGGCAGATTGGGTTAAAAAGCTTTCATATTTCCATCTATCTGGAGCTGTGAATGGTACTCAACATGCAGCCCATCAATGAAGGTCTGGAGCACAGGGTTGCTATTACATATACAGGATCGGGGGTCAGTTCTCCAGTAAAAGTGTAAACAAAGCTGCCAACTTGTTAGTTCAGGAGCAATGATAGATGGATCCTGAATTGAATTTCCCCTGTATAAACAAATCCTGCATACAAACCATTGTAGGTTTGCTCATCCCAATGCATACATCTTTTTGCTGCACTCCTTGGCCCCCTCTTCCTCCAGTCATCCACTCGGCTCCCAGCTGTGTCCCAGCCAGTCATACCTCTCCCAGACACCTCCCACCCTGTCAGACTCCTCCCCTCCCAGCCTCCCCCCCCCCCCCCCCCCCCCTCCCCCCCCCCCCCCCCCCCCCATTCAATTACTCTTCTCCTGCCCATATCTTCTCCAGTTAGATCACTCCCAGCCACTTCTCCCTGTCCAAACGTTCCTCCCCGTTTGCCTATACATATCGCATCAGTCTCTGGGGATTGCGCTATGAATGGGTTTTTTTTATCTTCAGATTCAAAATAATGAGTTTCAACATAAACAAACAAACAAACAAAGGCACTCATTTATATGCATGACAACATAAAATGAGGACAGTGGTGACTCACCATTGTACTCCGTTCACAGCAGAGTACTATGAATGGATTTATTTACAAATATAAATCCATATATAAATATTAAAAAAAAAGTTTATAGAAAGAAAAGTAGAAAAAATTAACTAAAATAATTCCCTTTATTGCACATTTGTTAGAGTATGTTATTATTTGAGGAATTTTACTCTACTATTGTACAACGGTGCAGCACTAAAAAAAAGCATAAATGTGTGACATAAATGAGAAACAAAATGATTAATCAAATATTAAGTATCCAAAAAAAAAGCACAAAATACAAAACGTGTAAAACATAATAAGTCTGAAAAAAATCTCCAACAGGTGCTTCCACCAAACTAAGTGTTGGTTCACATATATATGGTTCATATATTCATATACGTGGATTGGATGCGGTTTCAACCGCATCCAATTCGCATGACTTGAACTAATATTGCTTCCTGTGGTGCCTGTTAACATACACTATATTGGCAAAAGTATTGGGACAAGATAAATATTTGGCACACTAAGAAGAACAAAACCAGATGTATAATGTGATGGCTAGTATATTAAACACACAAGTAAAGTCCTTAAAGTACAAAGGTGGTTTCAGGGATAATCCAACAATGCTTGACTCAGCAGTAGCCTCAAGGCCGTTGGGAGTGATGTCAACTCAAGGTACAGCAGCAGTAGGCATGGCATGTGTTCGGAGCATGCATGCTCCTTCATCAGGCCATGAAGGATACGATACCTTGCGACAGGATAAATAACTTGACAACTTCAGTCACAGAGGCACCAGCTAAGCAGGCACCTCTTTGGAAGCTCAGTAAGCTCTGGCGTGACTCCGTATTACTAGTAGCACAGGCAGTGAATGATGAAAGTGAGGCTTCCCATCTGTTAGCTAGGTGTCTCATCACACAGCCAAAGCAAAAGAATGTTACATCACGTCCGCTTTCAACGAGAAACATGTTGTTGCTTCCACAACTGCAAAATCATGTAGCGTTTCCATTTTTTTTTTTTGTCTAACCCCTGTATGTGACCATGTATGAAGATATGGTCATAAAGTGCTCAAAGTATGTTGACATCTGTCTCCTGAAATCCTTTAGTGACTAGCTCAAATCCAAAACTCCAGCCCAGGCATACTAATGAAATATAGAGTAAAGAGAAGTCTCATAGTGTAGTACGTCATTTTAAATTTATTAAGATCACAGATAGATGTACACTCACATAATTAAAAAAGCCAAAAAGCCATCTAAACACATTAATAATACCATCCGATCAGCCTCTGTCTTGATTCACAATACTGCTTCCTATGTCAGTGTGCATGGTGACGTCACAGCCGCTGACCCAACCCAACACATTTCGTCACAGTGGATGTCATCAGGGGAGTGAGTTTATGTAATAAAAGAAGTCTAAACAGCAGCTTTGAAAATTTAGAGTGACATCAAACACAAGCATGTGCCTGGTGTTAAACTGCAAAAGTTGCTATTTTTGACCCTTATTTGTTTTACTAATATTAACTTCTTTTAATAAGATACACCAAGTAAAATGCAAAAACGGCACAAGGAAAAGGAACATTTTCACCACACACTGCTCTATGGTCCAATTTGTCTTCCATAATCTATGATGGCCTGCATCAGCTAACCCCCACTTCCTGTGAGCCTAGGCTGTCATAGACACACCCCCTGGGAGTACCATAGCAAATTTACCAAAACAAAGCTGTTTAGCAAGAGTGCAATTGGATCAGGTGACATTAAGGCTAGATTGTGTCTGAGCAGTTATTTACAGCCCCAGTGAGCCAGTTTAGGGAGATACTAATCTGCCTGTCAATAGTCTGCTGAGTCTTAAGGAAATTGCCTTGATGCCCAGAACAGGGAATTCGCTTTTCTCTTTTATAGTACTAGAATAGGATTTGATTAATTGTTCTTAGTAACAAAGGGAGAAATTTCTACAGAAACTTCATAGTGAGGCTTTTTGCATATTCTTTCATTGTGAGAAGAAATTGGAGCAGTCAGTATAAGACAGCAGAAGCATATAAAGGACATACCAGCATGCATGTTGGTGGAGTAGAGGCCAGACTCTCTGAACATCAAAGTAGGATTGCTATTGAACCCCATATATGTTATAAAATTAGGCTGCTTTCACACTGATCTATTTTTCTTCTGCTTTTGTGTTAAAAAAACAAACGAAAAAAAAAGCGGAAGAAAAACAGGTGAGCATATATTCCTGTGGAACTCTTCACACTGATCCGTTGTAGGTCCGGTGCGTTTCTTAAAATCTTCCTTGCTGCATTTTTGGTGCATGTTTGGTATGGTAAAAATAGCGCAGCAAAAACGCACCTCCCCATTGAAATCAAGGTAAAACATGGCAAAAAAATGCATCAAAAATGCACCCGTGTTGCGTTTTTGGTGCAGTTTTTGAGTCACATTTCTTGTAAAAAAAACAAACAAACCGTAAACATGGTAAAAACACACCGTAAACGCAGTAAAAATGGATCAGTGTGACAGTAGCCTAATTCTGCAGGTTGAGTTATTGGACACCAGTCTTGTATACATCAGCTTTGGCTCTCTCTGCCTATGCATGCTATTTATTTTATGAAAACCCATGTACTAACTAAAGCCTACCTAACACTAACCCCTATCCGTCCTGCTAACACCCACAGCAAATGAATACCCTTGCCCTTGAATTTTTTTTTTCTTAATATTCTGTGTAAAAAGAAGTTTAGAAACATTGTTTTTTTCCCTACTATGCCACTGTTTGTTGAATCCATTTTAATTTAGACCTCTTTCTACACAGTGCCAAAATGTAAAGCTTACTTAAATGTTTCTTTGCTGTTTTTTTTTTCCAATTTTAAAGGACAACTCCAGCAAAATGTAATATTTTAGGATAGCACCAGAGTGGGTTGAATCACCCACTTTTTTTTTTTTTTTTTACTTTTACACCTTCCAGCAGGATGGTTGTTGGGAATGGAGGAAGCTTGCTTCTGGAGTCCTATATAGGTATCAGAAGCCAGCTTGTAAATCCGCATACTAATAAGCACACTGTTTTAGCTGGAGTTGCCTTTATTGAATGTAACAAAATTGTGTCCTTAGTTGGATTTCTGATTACTGTTTTCTCTTGTTTGACAGAAATGGAGGATGCCCCAGTGCTTCCCCGTGCACAACGGGTAAGGCATTATTCTCAGAGTGAAGAGACCCCTTCAGAGACCTTTGGAGCCATTCATGAAGAAACCACAACTCTGCCTCGCAGTAGCAGCACTTCTGACATCGTGGGGCCCTTTGCAGCTGAGAGACTGAAAGGTGCAGTGTCTGTTGCAGACCATCCCTCCCCTCAGACTACGGATCCCTTTTGTGCTAACCCACACTGTCAGGAAGCACCCCTAACACAGGCCGATGGCAGTATATATGATCACCTTTGCCAGTTGGCTGGCTCAGCTGGATTGACAGATGCAGACATTGAGCAGGGATGGTATGAGGAGTTAGAAGGCACAGATCTTTTGCCACGTTTAAGGGCTTATTTAAAAGAGGAAGGGGTAGTAAAAAATAGGTTGACATCCATATCTGTAGATCAAAAAACAGAGCAATCTACAGATCTAGAGTCATGCGTTAAAGGAGAGGTCCATTCAGTCTTTTCCGAGGGGCTTCCTTGCACACATTCCAATGTTCAACAGACTGAGAGTAGTGCAGGCTTAGAAGAACACATTCCTAAAAAAACAGGGGGGTTAAAAGTTGGCGGTAGAAGCAGGGATGTCCATGTAAGGATTCTGGCTGATGGGGAAATCATTGACAGTGATAAAGCTGGCATGGAGCAAGGTGACCGGAAAAGAGCTTTTTGTAGACAGCACGCTGCTGAGGAAGATGAAGCTCTTGAATTGCCATCTTCTCAATCTCAACACAGTGAACATGGGGCCAACATAAAGCATCTGTGCGAGTCTATGACACATAAGGCCAAAGCAATGCGCCGGAAACGCAGCAGTGTGCAGGTCACCTTCCGCCCAGGCACTGAGGCAGTGCTCTTCTGCAATTCCATGGAGAACAAAGATGCCCCTTGGAAGGCCAGGCTACGGAAGTTAAGTGGTTTAAGTTCAAACTCTTCCATTGTTGTAGATCCAGGCAAGCCAACAGCATTTGCAGCCATGGGGGCAGTGAGATTAGCATCTGGAATAAGCCAGACAGGTAGTGACCAAACTGATGTAACCTATCCTCCCTCTCAAGTGCAGAAGGAAGCTGGCCGCACGAGGCCGAGGTCTAGCAGTCATGAGAGAGCCCCTTCTCATGCTTCTTTAGGAGGCGTATACAAAACTGTTGTCCATGCTCTCTCGAAACCTAAGGCCAGCGTGTCCCTGCAGAAGCAGCACAGGACGGCAGCCGAGGCTCCACTGAAGGACCTGTACGGTCATGTTATGGGCTATTTTGGAAGGAAGGCAGCAGGTGAGATCTTTCAGCCCTGGGATGCATTCCCAGAGCACATGCAGAGATGCAACACCCGTTTGGCTTTGTATTGCAGACAAAAAAAACCCCAGCTGCCAGCAATCAAGAGCTTCTTTTGGGATGACTTGCTGCTTATTTATTCCTCACCTAATGCCTCGTTGACACCCTCTTTGGGATCTTTGCATGTTGGCTCCCTTGTGCCTGATATAACCTTTTCTCAAAGTGTTGCCCCTCACCTTTTTCAGCATCTCTGCTTTCTGTACTAACCCCCTCCCTGTGAGGTGAGTGCTGCTGTTTCATAGCTAATATGTTCTTTTTCTTGATGACTAGGAATCACTTTTGTTCCGTGTTTTGTCCTTCAGTCATTTGTTTTGTCAGCAGTAACTTGTCAGATACAGAATGAATGAGAAGCATTTCATTCTTGTTAACAGGTCACAGATGACTCATAATCACATTGCTAAAACAATTGTTTTATATGTGTTTTTTTTCTTTCTTGTTTTTTTTGTGGCACATTGTTTGTAGCTCATGCTTTCACCTTTGTACATCTGGCCAAAATAACAATACAAACATGGCACCAGATGGTCAAGCCAAAAATGTTGTGCAAACTGCAAGAGCACAGTCTAATAGAACAATGGCTCACTATCTCACAGTGTCTAAAGTTGCACAGAACCAGCATTTCTAGCAGATACTGATCAATGTAGGGGTTAGAGGACAGGCTACAAATAGCAATTTTAAAGGATGAAAATACTTCATCTCTGCATTAAATTAAACATTACTATCATATTTATATATGTATAGGAAATGGAGTGTTAGTTTAATCCCATGATGACATATGGATACCTAATGGTTTTGTTTATGCATAAGCAAAGGATGTTCAGGTCAAAACACACTTCCATTGATTGTTTATGTAAACTTGCAGTATAGAAGGTGACCTTACGACAGCTATACAAGTGTTTGTGGTGTTACCATGCTCTAAACTATAATAGAGTAAGTCGGTCACCTTGTTGGATGGGATGGCTGACAGAGGTGTATAAATGACAAATGTGTCTGGACATAATAACAAATCTATTGGCAGATAAGGCAATTTACATACTGTGTCTGTATTTCAACTTTGTATTTTATACCATATTGTCAAAAGTTTGCTAAACCTATTGGAGCTTGTTGAACATCCCATTTCAAAACCATAGGCATTAAAGCTAAAGTCTAGACTTGATCATTATTGCATGTACAAATTGCTCCAGCTTGTAAGTATGCATATCTCATACTTGGGGGTTCACTTTGGAAGCTGACAATCACTGTAGTAGTCAGCACTGCTATAGTGATATGCGCTATCTTCCAGGTCCTCGCTCAGCACTGACACAATTCACAAGAATGATTTATATTTTTTATAATCAAACAAGACATTGTTTGATTGGACGAGATGGCGATTGTGATGTCACCACTCCTCTTCTCCATATCAACCAATCAGAGAACTCTTTGTGTTCACTAAAAAAAAAAAAACTGTTCTGTAAATAGTGGCAGTGTTAAGTGACCCCCTGTGGTCAGTGTACAGAGGGGTAGCTGCTCAGCACATGACTCAGAAGATAATGGCAATCACTGTAGTAGGACTGACTACTACAGTGATTGTCGGCTTCCACCGTAGACCCTCAAGTATGAGATGCACATTTACATTGTGCCAGACTGGACTAATATAAGTATGCAATAAGGATCATACTTGGAGTTCAGCTTTAATATGCAGTTGTACTCCACCTTTGTGGCTATAACAACCTCACCTCTTGCACAAGATTTTGGAATGTTTTGGAATGCGTCTATGTGAATTTGTACCCATTCAGCCAAAAGATCATTTGTGAGGTCAGGTACTTATGCTGGATAAGAAGACCTGGCTCACAATCAGCATTCCAGTTCTTCCCAAATGTACACAGTATGGTTGACGTCGGGGCTTTTTGCGGGCACTCAAGATTTTTCACACCAAACTAGTCAAACTATCTCTTTGTGGATCTGGCTTGACCATGGGCACTGTCACATTGGAACTGAAAAGGCTATTCACCAAATTGTTGCCTCAAGCATGTAAGTGCACAATAGTCTTTGTATGTGCTTGTTTTACCAGAGCTTCTCACTGGAAACACCTGAGCTTATTAATTTGGAGAGGATTCCACATACTTTTGTCCATATAAAGTACTTATTTAAATGATCATCTTTTTGTAAAATGTTACACCTTTATTAGGTTACAATTGTACCGGCCCCTGCACCCCCCCCCCCCTTTCTCCTTTTGTGACAGCTAGCGGGGGATCATCTCCCCCACTAGCTGTCACAATTTTAAAAAAAGGTGTCCCGACATTGCCCACTGCGTTATCCGATCACAGTGCTCTGTGATTGGGAAGACTAGAAGCCCTGACAGCCTTTGCTGGTTTTTCCTGTCATTGTAAAACTGTCTGCTCGTACGAGGTACAGACTGATTACAGTGACAGCCTGCAGGAGACCTGCATGGTACCAGCGATCAGTTGATTGCTTGTGCAATTCTTTCCAGGCTCCTAAAAGAAAGGTTATCCTTTAAATGCTCAGGATGAGCTTTTTCCAGTAAATAATTTCCCTAGATTTTCCTGATTCTAGTGTGTTATTACAGTGCGCTTCAGATAATACTCTACCGAGGTTTCCAGTCTTTCTTAACTAAGCTTAAAGTTCAGAGGTATTGATAAGTGGTCGGGTAAGCTGCAGTAAGCGCCATTGTATTCCTATTGCCAGAGGAAAGAGTAAGCTTTTTTTAATATACCCTACTGTGCAAAAGGTTTAGCCAGGTGTGAAAAATTGCTGTAAATTAAAAATGCTTTTGGACATAGAAGTGTTAATAGTTTAATTTTATCAATTAAAAAAATGGAAAGTAAATGAACAGAAGAGAAATCCAAATCAAATCAATAATTGGTGTGACCTCCCTTTGCCTTCAAAGCAGCATCAATTTTTCTAGGTACACTTACACATAGTTTTTGCAAGAACTTGGGTGGTACATTGTTCCAAACATCTTGAGAACTAACCACAGATCTTCTGTGGATGTAAGCTGCTTCAAATTGATACGAAGCTAAGCAGGTCAATAACTTCACAACAGGATATTGAAACTTTACAAGAAGACCACAATAAAATAGTGGGGTGGGCAACTAAATGCCAAATGAGGTTCAATGTAAAGAAGTGTAAAGTGATGCACTTGGATGCACTAAAAAATATGAATGCAGGCTACACGCTAGGGGGTAGAACCCCTGGGGGAATCAAGGATGGAAAAGAACCTGGGATCCAAGTTGATAAACTCAGCAATAGCATGCAATGTTAAGCAGCAGCAAGCAAGTCTGGCAGAATATTAGCATTTATTAAAAAGGGGATATACTCAGAAGATAAATCTATAACTCTTTACAAAAATCAGGTTCGACCACATCTTGAGTATGCCATCCAGTTCTGGTCATCAGTCCTTAAGAAGGATGTGCTGGAACTGGGAGAGAGTCCAGAGAAGGGCAACTAAACTAATAAGGGGACTGGTGGACCTCAGTTATGAGGAAAGGCTATACACATTAAGCTTGTTTTCCCTGGAGAAGACGCTTATGAGGAGATATGATTGATATATATATATATAATGATGATTCTAGCTTATGGAGAAAGCTGTTCCGTCTTAAGTTGCTCAAGACACGTGGTCACTCAATGAACATGGATGAGAAACGGTTTAACCTTAAACTGCGTAAGGGGTTCTGGAACTCTTTCACAATCGGTGGCGTCAGTGGGAAATGTCGACAGTTTAAAAAAAGATAGGCATCTTAGTGTAAGTAATATGCACGGATACCGTCATGGCCAAAAATGTTGGCACCCCTTCATTGTTTTCAGATAATGCA